TGACTTCATCTTTTCCAATCTGGATGCCCTTTAAGAAAGCCTGCCCATTTACAATAGCCACCAAAAAAATAAAATACTTAGGAATTGAGTTAACCAAGGATGTGAAAAATCTCTATAATGAGAACTACAAACCACTCCTGAGAGAAATTAGAGAGGATACAAGAAGATGGAAAGATATCCCATGCTCTTGGATTGGAAGAATCAACATAGTGAAAATGTCCATACTACCCAAAGTGATAATACAAATTCAATGCCATCCCCATCGAAATTCCAATGACATTTTTCTCAGAAATCGAAAGAACTATCCAGACATTTATATGGAATAACCAATGACCATTCATAGCCAAAGCAACGCTGAGCAAAAAAAATAAAGCTGGAGGCATAACACTACCTGACTTTAAATTATACTCCTGTATACTTTAAATCATCTCTAGATTACTTATAATACCGAAACAATGTAAGTGCTATGTAAATAATTGTAATACTGTTTTGCTTTTATTTGTATTATTTTTAATTGTATTGTTATTTTTTATTGTTTTATTTTTTGAATATTTTTGATCTGATGTTGGTTGAATCCATGGATGCAGAACCTGTGGATACAGAGGGCTAACTGTCTTGCAAGAGATGGAATGCAGAAGCTGATGGGGATCCAGCTATCTTCTACTGAGTCAGACATGAAAGAGATTTGCAGAAATGTAAAACAATACCACTCTTCTCATCAAATTATATTTTTGAGAAATGTAATTATTTTCATTAAAATGTTATTTATGTTAACAAGTAATGGGATTATTATTCTTATTTTTAAATAGATGAATAAATATCTCAAAAATTTCTCAGTTTTAATTTCTATTACAGTAAATATTGACAGAAATAATCCACAGAAACAAAATATTTTTGGAGTCCTCAATAATTTTCTAAAGTACAAAGAGTTCGTGAAACCAAAAATTTTCGGAAATGGCAATATAGAACACAATTAGTAAACCTCAGCTAAAAAGGATTTATGCCTTGTCCTGCAGTTAAAATTACCTGTTTTTATGTCACCTGCCAAACAACTGCTAAGTCAATGCCCCACATTTAAAAAATTTTTAAACACTACTGTACTAAAGACATAAATGACTTTTTTTTGGTTAGAGTAGCCTAAATTACTATAAAAATGTACTTACACATGTTAAATGTAAAATGGCTCAAATACAACAAAGGTTATTTCTTGGTTACCTAACAAGTGCTGGCTTTATTTCCATACTGTGATTCAGGAACCCAGGGTACTACTCTTTTATGGTTTTGCCATCCTTTGTTTCTTTGTCGTTATCTGCATCTAGTTGGCAAAAGGTAAAGGTATATTCACTTCAAAAACTTTGCACTAAAAGTGGCACATATTACTTCTCATTTTATTGGTCAGAATTAATCAGATGGCCACACTTGGATGGTAGCCCCTTATTCACTGTGGAAGGGAAGAATAGATTTTTGTGGGTATCTGGCTGTCTTCCACTGTGACATGGTATATACAGATTGGTTTGGAATTGGATTTTGGTACGAATCTTGGTTCTATCACTTACCATCTCTCTAGCCTTGTGTAAGTTATTTAATCTCTGAAATTCTTTCTTCTTTATTGTAAGGTTCACGAGTACAGGGTCCTTATCTGTCTTGTTTTCTACTTTATGCCTAATTCTGTGTAAAGAGCGGTGAACAAGATACACAAAATCTCTATACTCATGGGGTTTACATGTGAAATGGAGCTTCCATGTTTCTTGAGATGGAGGTTAAACTTGATTCAAACATTCAAATTTCATAGCTCGTGGAAGTCCAAAGCTTGCTGAAGAGTTCTAAAAATTTCTGGGAGAATAACATTCTCATGATCTCATCTGCTTTCTAGACTCATGTTCCTACATTTGTTACCATTTTACTCACCATATTGCCATGGAATAAATTGAGCCTTCTCACACGTTTCCACAAAAACAACTCACCCAGACTAAGCACTTGTAGGTAATGGAAACTTTCCTGAAGATCTAGGGAAGGGTCATAATGCCCATTGCACAGTAAGAACCTGTGTATCCATACTAGCCCTGATCACTTTGGTTTCCTATTTGATTTTTTTTCCCTCCCAGTGGCCAGCATCTACCACAGTGTTTGGATTTTTTCCCATCCAGTGGCCAGACTCCCATATTCCACCTCTTGGATACTTCACAAGAATTTGAATTCATTTTCTCTTCATGATTTAGACCAGTTCAGCTTTCTTAGTTCCCATTCCCAAATCCTAATCAAGGTGCTGAGCAGATAGAAGAACCCTCCTTTTAATTTTAAATAAATATGGTTTTAGGAGGAGTTGTGATTGTTGAGAGCAAATAAAAAAACCTGTACATGGAGAAGGGGACTGGACCTATCTCCCACAACCAGGCACACTGAGCCAGCACCTTGGGGCCCACCCAGGGACCCAGGGTATGGTGTCGGGGACCAGACCACCCTCCCACAACCAGGCACAACACGCCAGCACCTCGGAGCCCACCTGGGGACCCGGGGCATGGAGAAGGGAACTGGACCTCTCTCCCACAGCCAGGCCCATTGCCTCAGGGCCTGCTCAGGGACCTGAGGTATGAAGAAGGGGATTGGACCCCTCTCCCACAACCAGGCACATGGCACCAGTGCCTTGAGGCCTGCCCAGGGACCAGAGGCATGGAGAAGGGGACGAAACACACCCCAAAACCAGGCATACTGCCAGTGCCAAGGAGCATGCCAAAAACAGCACCTCCATGTGGGTTGCTCACCATAGCCACCCCAATAACCATGGGTGCTGCAAAAGTGCCTAGATGCCACAGCCACTACGCAGATGGTCCGCCAACCACTGGAGTGCATTCACACAAGAAGAGTCACCAGCAGAGACAAAGAAAAGAAAAGGACGTCTCCTTCCACAAAACCCATTTCAGAGTGACAGAAGAAGCATCGGCTCTATGATAATATTGGGGGACCTGATCACATCTCTGAGCATTGGACAGATCATCTAGGCAACAAGTTAACAGAGTAACCATTATTCTTTCAGAAGGAGAGAAGAAATCTAGGGCAATTAGAGGGGGGAGGGGAAGCGAATGGGGGAAAGGGAGAGGTTGGACAAGGGGCATAAAGAATAATTATGATTTGTAACAATATATATACTAGTAATATTGATTTAATCAACATATCTCAATGTTCAACCCCCAAAATATGTATAATCGATTTTGATTCAATAAATAAAAACAAAACAAAAAACCTGGATATGTTTATGTGCCCTAACAGGAGGGCTCAAATCAGTGCTGAGATGATGAATGACTAGACCAAAAACTCCGTGAGGGCAGAAATGTGTTCCCAGGGCCTAGTTTAGTACTCGGCATGCAGTAGCATGTAGTAAATATTTTTAGAAGAGAATTATTGACTTGAGAGAGTCTTCGATGAATGTTGGGATAAATGACCAGCAGTTAGTAGTTTATAGTGATGGAGTAGAAAATGGTGAAGTCTGTTTTTATCTCTGTATTTCTTCAGTATTTAGTTGTGCTTGTTATAACATAAACTAACAAGTATTATTGTATATTTTGGCTATTTTACCAATATGCTTGTGTTCGGGTAATGAATGTAATGAAAAATTGGCGGTTAAATTTTTCTTAAATTAATAAAGGTATAGAAAAACATCAAAATAATGGTGGGAAATTAACCAGCACATAAAGGAGTGGAGGGAGACTGAGAAAGTAAATTAACATTGTATTAAACTCCTATTCTTTATCAGCCTTTCTAGAAAGCGATTTTTAAATAGTTATCTCTTAAAATCCACACTACAACCTTTGTTGTGAGATAGTATTTCCTCATTTCACAGATGTGGAACCTGAAGCAGACACAGCGGTTCGCTCACGGGTGCACGTGGAGAGAAAAGAGCACTAGAAACCAGCTCTCCTAAATCCAGGTCACGCTGCTGTACTTGAAGACTAGATGTATATCTTATGATCATGCGTTGTAAGAAATTAGTAGGAAGACTAAAACAGGTTTTGCGAGCCGACACAAACCAGCCCACAAACCTTACAATGGATACCCGCAAGAAGTAGCTAAGGAGCCCGGAGGTGGTCATCCCCTCCGCGAGCTTTGCGTGCGCGCTCTCGAGACGGTCACGTCCGCTGTGCGCGCCCGTAGCGCTCCGTCACCATAGTGACTGCCCCTGGCAACCGCGAAGCTCTGCGGTCCCGCGGCTGGCTTCGCGTGTGAGCAGAACTTCGCCCTTCCCTTCACTTCCCCCCGACCTTTCTTCTTCCTTCCCTCTTTCTCGCCCTCCTTTTCCTCTCCCCACTCTCCAAAATCATGGCAGGCGGGACCGGGGACGTTCGGAAGCTCTTCATCTTCACTACTACCCAGAATTACTTCGGACTGATGTCGGAACCATGGGACCAGCCACTGCTGTACAACTGTCTTGAAATCAACAACTTCTTGGATGACGGGAACCAGATGCTTCTCAGGGTGCAGCGATCCGACCCCGGAGTCTCCTTTTCCAACACGGTAAGGTTCCTTGCAACTCTGCCTGACCTCCGTTTACGTCCCCAGGCCTAGCCAGAGACACGTGCGGTCACTCTTTGGCCTTACCCGACGGATCCTAGTCAGGAGCCCCCCCC